TCTCTCTCTCTCTCTCTCTCTCTCTCTCTCTCTCTCTCTCTCTCTCTCTCTCTCTCTCTCTCATAACTTATTAACAGTAACATATAATTTAGTTGAATAAAACATGATGGTATAACATATTACAGGCACAAATATGGAGCGAGCGAAAGTACTAAAAATATACTGTTCGGTATCTACAACCGCAGCGCGAGTGTTAGCAAATTTGTGGACACCATTTATCGGCCGGAAGTGGTTTACACTGAAATGTGTAAACAAGTAATTGAGGGACAAATCAATGACTTCACCCACTTTAAGGCCGTTCACGACAGCAACCAAGACATGATACCAGCGCGAGAGGCATTCACACGCACTATGATAGCGGCCGCTCAGAAAACGTCAACATTCACTTACAATGATCTTCTTTGGTATTTACCTTATTTACAATTACAATATACATGTATAAGACCTTAATAATAACCTAACAATAAAGGGAACACACATTTACTTACGTGGGATTTGCCCGGACTTACCGTACCCGTCGGGGTTTACTCCACACTCCCGTCAATACTTGTGCTTTACTTGTATAAATCACACAAATTTTCATTCTGTATTCTGCGATAATTCCTGTATAATACAAAAAGTTTCTGTATGTTTGGCAACGCTATATGGGATAGGTTTGAAGTCTCAATTAGTCGGGAGAGTAAAACTTAGGGATTCGTATAACATTCATTGGGTTTAACACGGGTTTCAATTATGTTTGTTTACAGTAGATTGTTTTTAATAAGGATTTCCTATTATACACCTAATATATACCCTTAAATCCCGCGTATAAATAATATATCTAAAATAAAACTTTATATAATTTTTGCTAAATTAACTAATTCAAGGGCAATTGTGAGATGGCGAGGTATTTTAATGCATGTTTGTTACATATGATCATATTTTGTCAGTTTCATAGATTTGTGGATCAAATCAACTCTCGATGTGTTGAAGTCAGAGCAGGCAAAGGAAATTGTGGCCAATTTTCTCAAACCTATTTCCACTTACGTCTCGGAAAACACTGCCGCCAACCAAACGCTCGCCTGCGAGTGGCCCAACACACCAGCACTCGAGAAAAATCATCTATATTGTCCGCCACTTTTATTCATTAGAGCTTTAAATAATCTAGATTCCAAGAACACGCCTGCCACATAAATGGGCTTGGTTTTGTTATTATTATTGAGAATTTTTTAATACAGTTAATTATAAATAATATACAGTAAATTACATTATATTTTCCCAATGATCATTTATGTAAACTTTAATAAAATTTATAGTTAAGAATATACTGTATATAAAATATAACAAGTTTTGTGTTTTATATAACCAGCTGGGAAATGTTACTGGTATCTAGCGTGTTGGGGCAAACTTTATTTTCTAGCACACTTACATACAATGGACCTAGATAAAATTGATGCATACTCGGGTGGGATAGATGTTTATATTCATGACCGGCATAGGCCCGTTCACCAATCACAATGTCCACGTTACCCAGGTCAATTTGACGCAAAACATTCATACTGATCTGCAGGTAACAGTTGTCATTGGTTTTGATGCCCATCTGCTCTTCGGTCAGTTGTAAGCAACTGTTTTGGTCAAAACCGTTGGTCACACTACGAAACGCTGTTTGTATGGCCAGTGAGTTGCGCTGAGCACTCGCTAAGTCTATGTTAAAATAATATTTGATTTCGTATTGAGCTGTGCGAGCTTGGTTAACACGGTCCAGTATGTGGCGACCCTAGTTGTTTTATTTATATCGCGTTTGTAATAAAATATATTAATATATATAAATAAATTTATAATATAATATAATTAGTTTTTATAAATAGATTTTTAAAAATAATTTATATTTAATATTAGCAAGGCTTATTACCGCTTCAGAAATCTCAGCAAACGTGGCTAAATTATTTACTGGTATCGCAAAGTTAGTGTTAACAACCACCATAATAGATAATAAGGTTAACAACATCATATTTAATTAAATTTAATTAAAATTTAAATCTAAACAATGGCTATAATAGTTATAATGATAAAATTAAACTATTAATATTAATAGAATACTAAAATCTAAATAAAAAAAATAATATATACTGCTTATATATTGGCTTAAATGGAAACCTAGTTCCTTGAGGGTGAAGGAGTGTAGCTAGAATTCTGAAATTAGTTTCATAATTTGAGTTGACATCTCTAGGCACCAGAATCCAAGTTTCATCAAGATCGGGTGAATACATTATGAACAGGAATTTTTCAAAGTTTGTCGGTCAGAATTATTTTGAAAAATTTACACACCCGATCTTGATGAAACTTGGATTCTGGTGCCTAGAGATGTCAACTTAAATTATGAAACTAATTTCATAATTCTAGCTACACTCCTTCACCCTCAAGGAACTAGGTTTCCATTTAAGCCAATAGTAAAATTATGTATTAAATATTGTTACCTATTTAATAAGTAACATTTGGCCATTTCATATTAAAATCAAAACTCGAGATTAATAAATATCTCCAAGGATTATAGGATTAGCAATATTAATGATATAACAGGTGCCAATGAACAGAACTAGAGTGATTTATTTAAAATAATTTATAACAATTGCCAAGTTATAAATTACAAGCGTTGTAAAATATTATTTATAAATGAAACATATATTGGTCATGTGCCCAAACCACGAATGTACCAAAAGCATTAAAATTATAAATACCATGTTGATTATTTTAGCGGTATTTTAAGATGATAATGTGGTTTATTTTGCTTCTGGTAAGTTTGCACTGATAATATGAACAAAATTACGTTTAAACATATGCAACTTTATTTATAATTGTCAAGACTTTTTGTTGATATAGTCGTTATCAAATGGATTTAAATAATTTGATTGCAATGGTTTCAATGCTTTGTGTAACCCATTAATTATATAACAATATAATGTATTGAATTTTTATTAAACTTTAGAATCTTTATTTAATTTACTTATCATAATAAATAAATAACATTTATAATTAAAGTTATAATTATGTAGCAAATTGATAGGTTTAATCAAATTAAAGTTTGATCAACAC